TAGAAATCGGCCCACGCGTTTGGTCTCTAGAGTGTCATACATACATATGTACATACATACATACATAGACTGATAAACACATTACCCTCCTTTGCGTCGCGCAGTCGGGTAAAAAATAAGTTTATTTGCATCTCTTAAACTAGTATCATGTTGCATTTTATGTTTATTGAAGCTGCACCAAAATTGCTTAAAACATGCCTTATTAGATTACAATATTATGATCGGAGGGTAAACAAGAAAGACCAATTGTAGGCAATGTACCCCATAGAGCGAAAGCGAACAAGGGTGTAGTATAAATAACTGTTTATTAAAAAAAAACCGACTTCCAGGCACTAAAATGTAAAAAATAGCTTAACGGAGGTTTTCATTTAGAATAGATACCTAATCAGATATTTTCGAAGTCGGTGCCAGCCGACAATATTTTAAGATATAAATAACTAATACGTAAATATGAATTTTATGTATCGAAATATATTAGATTTACTTTGCATCGGCTGGAACTGACTTCGAAAATATCTGATTTATATATTATACCACGCCTTTGTTCGTTTCGACGACGTGACTGAACATCGAAGACGTGGTGAACATTATATGGGAGGAGGTTAGTATAGTTACTTATGTATCTTTACTTAGTAATAATTAGTATTTGTTGCTTTTAGGATAGGTGTTCATCTTTTTTTTTTCATTTAAAATAAATATGTATAAAAGCCTCTACCTGCAAGCAATATTCATTAAAAAGTGTCCTTTACCTAACAAAAGGCATCCAAAATTTTGTACTTCAGATTTAAAACATCTGTGAGTACTAATTACAAAGTTTTTATACTCTACTATATTTTTTTACTACTATAACTATGGAGTCCATCAAATACTCAATACAGTAACTGGCACAATACTTCAATCTTATAAAATATAAATGAAAAATTTAAAAGTAACCCCGACATGTAATTCACCATTTTGTGGTGGCGACCATCTTGGATTCGAAAATTATACTAGTCAAGCCTAATTAATTTGATACCCATATTGAGGGAGTTGTGAAAAAATATGTAATCCGCTATTTTGTGGCGGCGGCCATCTTGGACCGATTTTCATCAAACATAACTAAGAACACTTCCGAATTATTCATCTTTCAGAGAAAAAACAAAAACAAAATCGGATGATCTCTTCGGGAGCTACCATACCACAGACAGACACACACACAACACACAGCACGTCAAACAAATAACTCCCCGTAGTTTTTGCGTCGGAGGTTAAAAACAGTAGAAAAAAAATAATTCCTCTCCGAATTAATATTTAAAGTTGTTTAATTTTAATTGATGTTTTATTATCATTTTATATCCATAACATAATCTGTTCAGATGTGATGGAATTACTTGTATCCATACTTTTTTAGCTGTCCCTTGTAATTCTTATAGTAAAATTGTTAGTTTACAGAATTGATTTCTGAAATATTCTAATACGGCAACATGTCTTTTTATTCTATTTTTCATTTTGAAATATCACTTAATTGTAAGGTGTAAATATATTTTAAAGAAAATTTAAACAGAATTTGCTCTGCGATCCAAAGTTTGAGATGACATTTTTTAGCACTTATTTTCTAGTGTTTGGTTTATTGTTCAATTCTCGTAAATTAAATAGTTATAAGAACTCAAACTTTGTCAGTATAACGTACGTGGACTAAACTATAATATAAATGATTATCCTAAATCTCTTGATCTTCAATGCTCTTAGAATTCAAGTATAAAAAACACCTCTTTTTTATCCGGCGCTAAGTCGCCATAATTGAAACATGTTATTGTTAAGCTTGTGGTGTAAAAAAAATGTACAGTGAGTTGTGTTGTTTTAATCAATTAATATAAAATATTGTATCTATAATTAAATGAAATTAAAAGTTTTTAAAATAATAGTTTTATTTTATAATAATTCCTGTTTTCATACTATATACTGATAAAAAATCACTTACAGTAATTTCAACTTAGAATTAACTATATAATATTAAATACAATTGATCTTATTTATATATGTATTCTTAGTTTATTTTAAAACGATTCTAACGATATAAGCTTTATATATAGCTTATATATAAAATTTTAATAAATATTGTTATTTTAATGATGCGTACATATTTCGCGCAGGCCCTCGAAAAGTAGCCGACAGATGCGCCATATTTTTGTAAAATGACAGCGACAGTTGAGGGGTTATACAAGGTATATTTAAAAAATAAATGGAATTCCTTTTATTAATTGGAATATTTTTTAATTACAGATGTGATCGTACAGGAAGAATATGTTTGGCAATAAGTTTTGTTTACATAGTGAAATAAAAAAAATCATGTGAGGTATTTATTTTCTGCTAATTATTATATTCAAACTAAGAACAGTTTTATTTTCAATAAAATCATTTTTATATTACTATTATATGTAATATTATTTATTTATACATTAATGAAAAATAATATGTTGCTTTAAATAAAACATAATGATTTCTTAAAATATACCACAAAAAGACTATAAATACTAATATAATACTTAATTTTGAATATTTCAGGGTTAAAGAGAAGCTATGACTGCAGTTTAGTATATGGGGTGCGGCCCCTGGAGGAGTGGGTGGTATTTTTGGATAGGGGAGGTGATAGAGAATTCAAATATATAAAAATTATTTTGAGGAAATAAAAGAGTCAAAAGTTATTGAGACTTAAAGTTACAACATTTCCATACATTATTTAGACATTACTGCCATTTAGACACTTGGAAATATCAAAATGTCACTTTCAATTGTCAAAATGATCTTCAGATTATGTTTTGTCGTGTTTTAAATTATACTTTGCGTGAAATTTGAATTTTCTAGTTTTCTAGTCATATAATAATGGCATATTGTGGTAACTGTTCTAACATAACCTAACCAAGATATGAAGAATAATAAATAAATAACCTAAGTCTTAAACTAACCACGATGTCGCAAAATAAAAACCAAAAGTAAATAATACTTAGATTTTAAAGATAGTCTACTCACGCTTATAAATTGTATTAATATAATCTGTTGTCATTTAAGCGGTAAATGGTAATGTAAAACAGAAATTGACAGTTGTCAAAATGTAAGATCAATTTGCTTACAATAAGTACTGTTGCGAAATTATTCAAAAATTAAATACAATAAATCCTTAATTGTTGTGGAAATATGTATTGTACATAAAAAAGGATGTTTGCTATTAGTTAAAGGTATGTTTATCTAAAGAAATGTAAGGAAATGTATTAGATATTATGTTGTAACTTTGAGTCTTAATAATTTTTTACTCCTACGTTTTCTCAAAATATTTTTTATATATTTTGACTCTCTGTCACCTCCCCTATCCAAAAATATCACCCACTCCGCCAGTTGGTAACGAAATGTATGGAAATGTTGTAACTTTAAGTCTTAATAACTTTTTACTTCTACGTTTCCTTAAAATATTTTTTATATATTTGGGCTCCCTCCCACCTACCCTATCCAAAAATACCACCCACTCCGCCAGGGGCCGCGTCCCATATACTAAACTTGTGCTGAAGCTATAAACAGAAAAGCTAAAATTACCTACAATATTATTCTTAATCACTGCCCATCACTGTATGTGTAATACCTATAGGTAAATAATTCTTTTATTATTCTACTTTAGTTAATGGAACTTTTCCTTTTTTTTAATTCTGTAATATCCTTCCATATTTTTCTACATACGAATGCAACACTAAACAGTTACCCCTCACTACTATGAACATATTGCATCAAAATTTATTATTTATTATTCTTAAATTTCCCAAGTTTTATGTGACTGGCTAATTTTGAAAAACTTATGTTTCCAAAAAAATTATGCTTCGCAATGTCAACCAACACAAGAATAAAATTGGTATTATTATTTAATTTAATATGTACTTTATTTATTTTCAGGCACAAAATACGTCAAGATTTCATGGAGCAGATCAAAGTTTTCTATACTTTAATTACAATAACAATTAAATATGTAGAGAGAAAAAGAATGAAGACTAAATTATAATACCACAGCTTTTGTTACCATGTTTTTTTTATTAAATTCAAGGTGGTTGTTAAATACTGACAATATAATAATGAAAAGAGTGATCTAGTCCATACTTTCTTCACTCTTTACAATTTTGTTGATTAAAATATGTATAATATGTAATTGTAATATTATGTAGGTAATGTTATAGACAAATTGTGAAAATAATTATAGAACAATGATAAAATTTATTGATGTTAACCAATAGTTGTAATATTTTCATAAACATATATTAAATGATTGTTATTAAATTGTCTTCCAAGACGGTGGTAGATTCCTCACGGAATTACATTAGGTACATATTGATATTTAAATTTTAAAAATATAAATATTGACGATTTAAAAGCGCACATGTGACTTATTATTTACTCGTAGCGTATAAGTATATTTGAATAAATAATATTTTGATTTGATTTGTGTATAATTTTATAATAAAACTTGATCTACATTCGTTGGCTTACTATTACAAGGTTCTATGTTAATTTTAATGAAGTTTAGTAATTTTTACATAGAACTTCGTTATTTTGTTATCGTAAAAAAAACAACATAGAACTATGTAAAATTGAATATTTTGTAGTTATAGTGCCGCTATCTAGTGGTTTGTTTTTGCAAAACTCTAGCTAATGACACATAGAACCTTGTAGCATTAATAACTAAATAAGTACTAAAGTTGTAACATAGAGCCTTGTAATAATGGGCCAACAATTATTATTATGGAAGCTGTTATAAGAATAAAATTTAATTTGTTTAATCTTTTTTAAATATACATATAATAAAATAATTTTTGTTCTAAAAGATTATTTTTTTCTGTTTTGTTAAATATGTAATTTCATAATGAAAAGAAAATTATGTCTTTGCTTTTGTAATGAGATTGTCTTTTTTTGGAAACGGAGCTTCATTGCTAACCGCAGTTTTTTCTATCTACTTTTAGCGTTAGTTTCTATGAGGAATCCTAATTTTTCTTCTCTTTCTTGGATTTTTTTGTTTTAAAGATTTTACAAATAAATATTTTTGTAATTTTTACTAAAACTATTAATAATAATAGTGATATAAAAAGAAGATCGAGGTAGAATCTTTTGTAAAACGGTATTGTCATTGCCGGCGATCTTAAATGAGGGGCACCTTTGGTGTGTGCCACATGTTCTATCCAGAAGACCAATTCATCCCCCGCTGTTTGCATTCGATTGTGATAAATGTATGACAATTCATTCGCTTTTGTTTTGTAGCTGAAACAATTCAAATTAATTACTTGTTAAGTTACATTATACTCCTATTTTAATTAAGTAGCAATGTTATTTATATTAGGTTGTGCTAATAATGTTTACAGTTAATAAAAATATTTAAATGGAATTGTTAGATAATTAAAATTTAAATTATATTATTTGATTTAATTGTTTAGAGATAATAAGAGTTTATCATCTATACATATAATAAAATTCGAGAATAATCTGTACATTAAATATTTTTTGGAAAATATTAATGAAATAGTCATTATTATCGATACAAAGGCCGAATCTATAGTTTTTAGATTTTTTGTCTATCTGTAACCGCATCATGAGAAAACCATTAGACAGATTTTCATGAAATTTGGTATGATGATAGCTGGTTATCCGGGTCAACATATAGGATACTTTTTACTGCGGGAAAATGTCTCGTCTCTGAGAAATCTATACTAAACGTTAAATCGTAACTAGGGACGATCCCGAGCGGAGCGGAGCGGAGAGATCTAGTGTTATTATTTGTGTAGTTATGATATATAGAGCCAAGGCGGTAATCGATGATATCACCCAAAATCAGTAAATGCCTTTCTTCCTTTATCGAATTATCGAATTCCTTTAGAAGTTTTTAAGTATCTATAATCTTAATATCTATAAAAAATAATATCCTCTTGACTCCGCTAGCCTCACTGAGACTAGCCAGGTACGCAGGAAATATTATAGTGCAAAAGTGTAGCGCAGACAAAAGTACACTTTCTTTTCCTTTTACTCTTAAAGTCCGATGAGACAATACTACGATATAACTGATGAGAGTTAAGGCGCAGGACTGACTGACGGCTTTACGTGCTCTCCGAGGCAAGGAGTTGCAACACCGCTAACTTCCCAAATCCAGGCATCTTATCAGAAAAACTCAGTAATTAACTTGGCCCGACCGGGAGGTCGAACCCAGAACTTCCGGATCTGCAGCTGTAAATGCTAGCTACTAGACCACCGACGCAGTTTCGACCACTGTGAAAAATACAGACAGGCTGGTAGGACTGCTCTACTGCCACACTGGTGTAATTGTTATGGTTAAAGCATGGATCAGTGACATAACAAAGCAAGGTTCTTGCATTAATTGTATCTAACCATCGTAGGAAACCTTTTATTGCTATTGTCAATACGTACGATGTATTTATAAGCATTTCCTCAATAGCAGCACGTAGTTTATTCGCCATATCTTCAGCCAAAGTAACAATGATACCAAATCCTTTATTCGCAACAGATCTCATATTCACATACTGGTCTCCGAAAACTGGTATACCTATGACAGGAACTCCAAAATGTATTGCTTCAGTTGTTGAAAGCTGGCCACCGTGAGTTATGAAAATTTTTAAGTTGGGGTGAGCTGAAATTTAGGAAAAAAATTAATCATTCAAGATTTTTAGCGTACGATGATATTACAAATATAATAATTGTGCTGCTGTTACAGCAGTTAAATAATATATAATTGATTACTGGGACGAAAAACATTAACATTGTTAACTGACACGCCGGCGTGTCCGCGGTCGTTAAGGGATTAAAGTTAAAATTTAGTTATTCGTATTGCTCGTATAAGTATGATTCTAAAAATTTTAAGAGATTCAACTTACAAAGTAAACTCTGTTGTGGAGCCCATTTAACTAAATGTACATTTTTTGGAACATTATCTAAGTCTCCTTCAAATTTCCAAATTACAGTTTGTTTTAACTTTCCAAACATTTGAAGTAGTGTGCCCTTCATGTGGTCGGACATATCCATACTCCTTATGTTACTACCCATACTAAAGTATATTACTCCATCTTTTGTCTCATCCATTATTTTTTGTAACTCCTAAAATACTTAAAACTGCTTAGTACTAGATCAAGACTACACTGTTGAAGCTAAGGCATATTAGTAAAATTTTGCAAAGCTACACAGTTATAAAATGTTGTTCTTATAATGCAATGCGGATTTATGTCGATTTTTGGTTCGAATGTTTTACAGCAATCATGGTCTCTCCCAAAAATCCCAGAGTCTCTCCCAAAAATCTAAATAAATCCGCGAAAAAATCCGAAAAGATATTTTTATTTAAAATGTTATTCTTCATTCTTAGTAGTATTTCAAGTTCTTACCTTAGGCAAAGGTTTTACTTTAGAATCAATATGATACCCAGCAATATATTTAACATTTTGCGGCAGTCGGTACGGACTCCCTATAGATGGGTGAGAATTAATTAGCAAGAATGACCCATTATATATAGCTTCATTATACGACGGTATGCTTACACCTCGTTCAGCAGCAATTTTTGGAAATAAATCATCATATATCTTTTTTTCTAATGGTACTACGTAAACTCTGTAAAGAAATAATTCTGTAAAATTTTCATTATTATCATTATTAAATAACATTTAGGTTAGGTAGGTTAATTCAAATACTGACCCATATATAATCATTTTTTTAATCATTATATACAGTTCATTCAATCTTTCCCAAAAACTGAGTGGTGGCCTGCTAGCCGAAAACAAGTCAACGTTGTATGAAGGGTTAGGAACATCGTCCATTAGCTGTAGGATTTGCCAGTGGGCTTCTGTTGAACCGAACCAAATTAGCGGACATTGAAACAGTGGAGCAATTCTGAAACAAGGTACGTGTTTATAACATTAAAAATATAAAAAGGTAAATTCAATTTCAAAATCATTAAAATTCAAATTCAAAATTATTTTAAAAACAACGTAAAAATACAGATTTATATACTCTGATATAGTGCTATGACACAAACTAAATAACTCTCTATTTATTTAAATCAGTTGATCTTAAGGAATTATTTTAATTGTTAGTATATATAAAATAAATATTAAAAAAATATATTTACCCAGCAATCTCATCAGCGAAAAACCACTCAAGTATCACAGCATCGAATGTCTGTTTTGGATCTTTTAGGAAATTTATTAGAAGAGGATCTGCTAATATATTCTTATGTATTTCATATACAACGTTTATAAATAAAAAGGAATCCCCGAAGTTACCAGTACCAACAAGATTTTTAAGTTTAAAGGTATCATCTAAAACAACAAATATTTAATATTTATTATCAATAAATATTACAATTGTGCAGAAATGAATACCTATTACCTACTGATTATAACTATAATAAAATCGGACAAGTGCAAGTCTGACTCATACACTAGAGTTCCGTAGCATGGAACATTAAATTTATGTTATAACTTATACACACCAACAATATCATTCTATCATCAGTAATATAATATTTTATAGTATTCATATTAAAAGCAAACATAATTTTGCGCCCAAACTCATAAAACTCATGTATGGCACGAAGGAGGTATTTTTTTGTAATTTAACTACGGAATTGTAATAGATGAATCTCCGATAAACTAAATTTCAACAATGTACCTTCAATAGTCTTCGAGTAAAATGTCTGTGACATACGCACAGATGGCTGTAACGAAATTATAAGAGCCTTTTAGACTAGTCTTTTGTCTACAGAATCCCAAATCTATATAATGAATACAGTAGTAGTATTCCAAAAATACCTATTGTAGTTTAACGTCTTCAAAATAAGACCATCCTTCATCTACCTGTTGTGGATGAAAAGTAATATTAAATATTTTATTCGTATTTATGCCCAATGAAATACGATACAATACAAAGATGCCATTTACTAAATATTATAATAAAACAAGTTATATTTCGAGTTCAATTACTTGCTTAACATTAACTATTTGGTATAATTCAGACCAAAGTAACTATGATATTTTATCACCCATTTTTCTTATTTTGTATCTCCCATTAAAATTACATTTATTCGCTAACCACTTGACGTAAGTTTTTAAAATACTTTTATATAATATAAAATCGTCTGGTAAATAGATGGTCGAGAAACAGTATTATTTCAGATTTAATAATAAATGTATGAATTGTACGTTTTTCAGATTCTGCCTTCATCCGTTTTCCCAATTCCTCTAAACTTATTTCTGTTAGATTTGCAACGGGCTTGTCACGTGGAAACGAAGTAATATGTACAACCTGCAAAAATTAAAGATAGAGTACATGTAAATATTATGCTATATTATAGGGGATTTTGACCCTTTTAACAATTTTTCGTCCCTTATGAACTATGTATATTGTGAAAGGTGGCAATATTTAAAGCCTTAGCCTTAACTATCTATTTAGTATGTAAAATTCAATGTCAATATACTAGATTTAGTATGGAATAGATAAGATAAATACTTTAAAAAAACTTGAAATCCTTCCCTATTTTACCTTGATTGGTCATAAACGCCGAAATATTCATTATTTCTTTTCAAAATTATAGGATACATTTTTTGCCCTTAACTTAAGAAATGATTTGTTCCCAAAACAAACTTTTAACCCATATTTCACTCCTTTCAAGTTTCATTTTTGCGACAAAATATGTTAAGTTATGTTCTCCAAAGCCCCATCTCTCTGTATATCAGACTTAGAAAACGTAATAGACAGACAGCCAGAGTTACTTTCGCATTCATAATATTAGTGTGAATTTACAATAATTACAATTAAAAAATTACCTCATGTCCAGCTTCCAAAAGTCTACTGACCACACCTTGACCTAAGATGCTGTGACTCTTGGAATATATAGGGAAAAATACGAGTAATCTAAAAGCCTGACTCCATGTTGCCATTAAAATGAGTACTAGTGCGATAAGTATTATAGTTCTCGACACCATCTGAAAAAAATGTTTTGTTTTTGTTTCATTACTATTATTTCAATTTCGCATACAAAGTGTCATCCCTATTTTCACCTCCTTAAGGGAGAATTTCTGTGATAAAAACTATACTTTGTCCTTCCCACGATCTCAAACTATCTTCTTACCTTTCATCTAAATCTGTCCAGCAGTTTCTTAGCTTATTCGGTCCAAACAAAGAAACAAAAAAATCTTTCTTCGTTGTAATATGTATTAGTATAGATATGATGATGATGATGTTCTCCTAGCCGATTCCGGCCACGGCGGCCAATCTCAATGAGATTAGCCAACTGCGCAGGAGATATTATAGTGCTCAAGTGTACGCGCAGACACAAGTGACCTCTCTATTCTTATCACTCTCATACTCCGGTGGGAAGACCACTCGACACGACCGGTGAGAGTTAAGGCGCAGGACCGACGGCTTTACGTGCTCTCCGAGGCACGGGGGTGAAACACCGCCAACTTCCCAACTCCGGGCTGTTACTGAGACTTACTATACAGGAAGACTCAATAACTAAACTTGGCCCGACCTGGGAATCGAACCCAGGACCTCTGGGTGTGCAGCCGTACATGCTAGCCACTACACCACCGAGGCAGTTAAAGTATAGATATAATATGTTATAATTAAAATTATATCATGAAAATGATGTGTCTTGTGTATTAATAATATTATAACTGTCTGCAACGTCTTCACGTGTATATAGCTAATGAATAATTCAGGGTATACGTAATAATACACAATACATTATTATACATACATAACCGACGATAATTATCTCGGAAAATGACCTCGATTGTGCAATAGTCGCTTTTTAGATCTTATTTTGATTGACTCAAGTTTGTATGGGGAATTAATCATTTCTCGAGTAAGGGATATAAAACTCATCGTAGCTATGTATGTAATAAATTCTATCTATTATTTATTGTTAAAACGTAAATGGGACGAACCCGAGCGAAGCGAGGGTGAGTCGCTAGTGTTATAATATTTTACGTTTCGGTAATGCTACTTTTGTTTTTATTTTAATCATTGGTGTACGATCGTTATAATAATAGGAATGACCTTAATAATTTATCTACAGAAATGATTAATTAGACTGTTGAAGCGTGATGTGAACTTTGATACGTTTATAAAACTAGTACTACAAAAATATTTGTAGTCGAAACTTATATTATTATTTATTATGTTACATATTGTTTATTATTTATTACATTGTTTAACTGTTTGAATCGTTTGAATAAGAATATTTCAAATCGGATAAGAAGTTCCTGAGATTAGCGCGTTCAAACAAAACAAACAAACTCTGCCTCTTTATACCTAATATTTTATGTTAAAATTACGTCGTACACTTGTTTTAAGAATCGACTTCGATTACTATCTTTATAAATAAGCATGGGATGAAAACAAAAATATAGCTAGAATAATTTAAACATTTGGTTATTGTACATTTTGTTTGAAATGAAGGCCCTATAGTATCAGTCGTTAGCAGATTGAAATTACTTTTTGCTCATTTACTTCAAATCGCTTGGTGGTGTAATTTATTTCTAAAAACATGGGATCATTTTTGAAGTCTCTTCATTGGAAACCAAAACATAGTATTGATTAACATATAAATTATACCTACTGTTATATCGTGACAAACATACAAATAATACAACAAACTGGATTTGCGCCTTTTTTTGGTAGGTCGGTCAAAAACATACACATAAGAAGTTCTACCTTTTTGTTGCCTACTAATAAATCAATAATTATATTTTAAAGATATGTGATTCTTTAAATTGATATAACTTTTTATTTATGTACTGATTGAATTAGAACAAATACTAAATATTAAGTGAAGCTTACCACAATACATTAGTGAAAACCGCAGCAAATTCGATTAAGCCGTTTCTGAAATTAGCGCACACAAACTCACAGACAAACAGACAAAAATTCTAAAAATCATTGTTTTGGATTCTGTAGCGTAAATAAAGACCCCCAATAATAGTTTTTCTCAAATATATTCCATGTACAGACAGCGATCAGTTACACTTTTATTATATCATATATGTATAGATAGATGCGACGCTTCAAGTGTACGAGAATGACATTACAGTTATAGACATAATATGCAAAATCTTGATGAGATGTCACTGAAAACGATGGAATTGGTTAAGAGATTTTTTTTTATTTTAACAATTAATTGTTTTATTGATTTACGTGTCTAATTTTTGAGCATCTGATCGTTGTGGTCTGCCTCGGCAGACCTGCCGTCGGGGCGTCGTAGTTGAATGCGTAAGCGATCCTGCGACGCCCCATTAAGACGGGGGAAGATTTTGTTGGGTTTTAGTGGGTAGTACTGGCTGTATTACGCCGGTGAGTCCCACACGTCGTGCGTAAATGCATTTCCCAACGTTAAAAAAAGAGAGACCCGATAGCTAAACGTTATACTACCATAGTACTCCTTAATTTTTTTTACGTTTAGATTAAGATAAAGTGTTGTATTGTGTAACATCTGGCTGTCACTATTTATTTTTTAAATTCACCAACTTTGGAAACACTTAAAATCGTTGAAAATGTAATAATGAAATCAATAATCGATGTGTAAATTAAATCGATAGGTATTGAGAATCTCGATCCCCCTGCAAATTTTGATTGATCATTCATGTTACACACTGCATAGAAATATATTAAATAAAATTAATTACTAAAAGGAATATTTACCATTTATTAATATTTTTATTTATTTTCCAAACTATAAGTACACAATAAACACGCACTATACACGATCGTCACTAAGCAACTCTGTAGTCTAACTAAAGTTTACGTACGGCTGAAAAGGCTACTAAAATAAGAAACAAATGTACAGTCCCTGAACGAAGAAATCGAAAACTTCAACTAAGTATACATTAATGAATACATATGTACGTAGTTTTAAAGTTTATTATTTTAGCCCGCTTTATAATTTTTCTTGTATTCATAGGATAGCTGGAAGAGATAGAACTTTTCTACGTACCTACCTATGTACCTAACACGTGTCCACTTTGATCTTTCATAATAATGTAGGTATTTAGTTTGGTACTCTAATTTTATTGCGCAGTAAAGAATATATTATAGTAGTAAAAAAACATAATAATATTGTTAACACAATAACTGCAACTTTGTTTTTTAAAAGTAACATTAACAAAAGAATAAACTTGCAATTCTATTTCCAACAACCAACCGACTTTCTTACTCCGGGCTGCTATTTTACACACAACACACAACCTTGACCGAAGAACTTAATAACTATACAGTATACACTGCTCGTATTCGAACCCAGGGCTCATGGATCTACAGTCGTACATGCTAGATTCTAAACCAATGAGGCAGTTAGAAAATGATATTAATATTAATAGTAAGTTTTTTGTTCTCAATCTAAATAAATAATGTTATTATCGCCATTATTTTATAGGGGAATTACTTCTATGTTTACCTCAATGTGTAACTAAAATGTACAATGTGCATATTGAGTCATCACTGATCACTCAGAGACAGGTACTTCAGAGGCCTTGCTTTTTTCCGCATGAACTCAACTATTAATAATATAAAATAAGCGACTTGCCCTCGCTTCGCTCGGATTCGTCCCTAGATTCGTTTTACGGGATAGACAGACTATAATATGATATATAGCCTTCCTCATTAAACTGGCTATCTAATGCAAAAAGACTTTTTCAAATCGAATTAGTAGTTCCTGAGATTAGAGCGTTCAAAGAACTCTGCCTCTTTATAATATTGGTATAGATAAAGCCTAAGTCTACATTTATCTGTTTGTGCGCCTTGTCCATCTAAACTATGCAATGGATTCTAATATGGGTTTACATTATCCCTATTAGAATCTTGCGGAAAGTTTATACTATGTAAAATATACGTATTAAATATTAATGCATGTAAAAAGTCAATATTTTGTAATCAAGTCATCAAGTTTGAGCAAAACGAATTGAAAACGAGGTTGGGCCAGTATTCCTACTGAACCGACTAATATTATAAATGCGAAAGTTTGTGAGTATGTACGGATGTCTGGGTGTATAGATGTATGGATGTGTGTTACTCTTTCTCACGCAAAAACTACTGAACGGATATTGATAAAACTACAATAATATAGCTCATATATCAGAATAACATAATACAATGGATAGATTTGTTTTAGTTATTCTAGTTTTAGTTATTTAATAATATAGGTGTAAATAGTAACTAATTTCATTTTTTTAATTGTTTGAGTCCTTTTGATGAGATTTGGACGAAATGTATGGAATCAAAATACTTTTCTAAACGAATAATAGTTAAGACTTCCTATACAAGATATGCCTCAGACAATGCCATACTCATCAATCGCTGTAACTAATAGAAGAATGAAAGATGTGCGGGAAAGACATAACATCTAAATATTATTCACGGGGTTAAATGATATCATACCATATTATGTTATTCGTTATCTATTATGGTTTATAGAAATGGAATTTGTCCAAATCGTTCGAACAATGGTAGTACCCACTTACTACTATTTGTTTAGGATAGATATACTTTATTGTATGCCAAAAAACGAATAAAAAATAGAAAGAAATAAACATAAATAGTACAGGAGGCGGACTTATTGCCACAAGCGATCTCTGAGCTCTTCCAGGCAATCTTAAGTCGTCGGAGTAGGATAGAGTACGATACACTGCCGGCCAGAAAATGAGTGATACCTATATGTATTCGCCCTTTTTAATCCTGATAAATGAAATATTTCTGGAATAATATATTAATTTATTTGATCAGCTTTTTATGCTTTTTTGATAATTTTTAAATGAAATAAAGTGACATCTAAATCACAGGATAAAACTACTCAGTCTTAAATATTTAGAGATAGTAAGTAGAGGGCGCTTGACAAGGGATTTTCAGAGAGGATATTAAAATGATCTTAGTTGATTTTCTTTGCATACATGAAGGAAACAATGTAAATAACAAACATACTTAAAAAGTACAATATAATACTTTCTTAGATTTACGCGAATATTTGACATTTTAAATAAAACTATCTTTTCGGATTTTGTCGCGGATTTATTTGGATTTTTGTTTCCCGACGTTTCGAATGCTTTACAGCATCCATGGTCACGGGAGAGACTGAGGTGTTACATGTCTTGAATGTATAGTTGTTACAGACAGCCTACCCACAATTAACAAAATGAAAATTGCACCAATTACATTACAATATTTTTTAACTTTAAACATTTTTATAATTTTAATTATAATTGAATATGGAAAATTATTTATTTAATTTTGCTATTATTTTTATAATTATTACAATTTTAAAATATTAATTAGTAATCTATATTTAGTGTTGCCATTATTATATTTATAACCATAAAGAAAAATATAAAATGTAGTATTAATTATTAAAGCCATATAATTGTTCTATGTGTAATTTAAAAAGTTAAAATTAATTAAGGATAATAATTTTAATTTATTTTGCTATTATTTAAAAACAACTTACTAAGCAACACTATTAATATATACTTTTACAAATGAAAAATGAAAAATATTAGTCTGATAAGCTGTCATTTTGATCTACACAGTATGAACTTACTACATCTGCCTGTCTGTTATGTTTATATTTATTATTTGATTTTATTATATTAATAACAGGATCGTCATGGGATCCTGTTATTAATATAATAAAATCAAATAATAAATATAAACATAACAGACAGGCAGATGTAGTAAGTTCATACTGTGTAGATCAAAATGACAGCTTATCAGACTAATATTTTTCATTTTTCATTTGTAAAAGTATATATTAATAGTGTTGCTTAGTAAGTTGTTTTTAAATAATAGCAAAATAAATTAAAATTATTATCCTTAATTAATTTTAACTTTTTAAATTACACATAGAACAATTATATGGCTTTAATAATTAATACTACATTTTATATTTTTCTTTATGGTTATAAATATAATAATGGCAACACTAAATATAGATTACTAATTAATATTTTAAAATTGTAATAATTATAAAAATAATAGCAAAATTAAATAAATAATTTTCCATATTCAATTATAATTAAAATTATAAAAATGTTTAAGGTTAAAAAATATTGTAATGTAATTGGTGCAATTTTCATTTTGTTAATTGTGGGTAGGCTGTCTGTAACAACTATACATTCAAGACATGTAACACCTCAGTCTCTCCCGTGACCATGGATGCTGTAAAGCATTCGAAACGTCGGGAAACAAAAATCCAAATAAATCCGCGACAAAATCCGAAAAGATAGTTTTATTTAAAAAGTACAATATATTCACATACTTATGATTTAAATTTCCTTCGCAACAAACATACAAGGAACAACGGTGCAAACGAACGATGCAACGATACAAACGATGAATGCACGTGTTGTAATTAGTCTCCACTTACGTTTATTTAAGTTGATTATTTAGAAAGATTGCAAATGGAACTTAAGATGCATTATATAACGGGCCTAGGACCTATATATGCCTAGGCCATAGGGGCTACATGCCTAACGAAAGCAGACAAGCTCACTAATGTTCATTGTCATTGTTTAAAAGCAAAATACAGTGCTTGATAATATTATATGAAAAAAAAACACAAATAAATATTAGAAATGCGAAAGTTTGGATGGATGTAACTCAATCACGCCAGAAGTTGAACGGATCTGGATGAAATTTGGCATAGAAATAGATTATAGTCTAGAATAGCACATAGGTTAGTTTTTGCCCCGGAAAAATGTACGGTTCCCGTGGGATAGATTTGTTTTTGTTTTTCAACGAAGCAAAGGTTGGGGAGCTTGTACAAAATAGTCAGCTAAACAAAAGATAATAAATTTTTATAACAAATTGGGCGCCTAAAAGAAAATATTTTGCAAGTTTACAGAAGAGCGAAAAAAATGTACTATAATAAGATCTAATTACGTAAATGGCCCAGTTTAGTAGGATCGGCCGTTATTGCTGAAATCGGTCAGGAAGAAATTGGTATTCATATTTTTTCAATGTTTAACCTTAGTTAATTAATAATTAAGATACAGCAGTAACGTGTATAATATTTATTTATTTTTTTGCTTACAGGGCTTAATAAAAATTAAACGAAAAATAAACAATAAAAAAATGAACGATATTTATTCTTCAATAAAAACTTTTTAACAAATAAATAAAAACCGACTTCAAACAACATTATGTATCTGTTCTTGAATTTTATTTTTATTTTTTTTTCCTTGGTGTACAATAAACAGTTTATTATTATTAAATAAAACTATCTTTTCGGATTATTTCGCGGATTTATTTTGATTTTCTCTCCCGTGACCATGGATGCTGTAAAGCATTCGAAACGTCGGGAACCAAAAATCAAAATAAATCCGTTAATTAAAGAAAAATGGATAAAAGAAAAAACAAAAAATTGTTGTATTGTTTTATTTGCACCTTCATACTTTACGTTATTTACAGTTTAAAATACACTGAGTAATAATATATACATTTTATTTTAATCGACTTTGTTAAAATGTTGTTAAATTGAGTTTTACAAGATGTGATCTTACAATGGTAGTAGCACTACTAATTTCTTTTTTTACTACTCATTGTTTTCTTCTTACATAACCAACTACAAATAAATCTTAATAAATATTTGACACTTATAATAATAACTATTAATACCATAACAAGGTCTAAATACAACTTCTGGTACCAGGGCATCAGAAATGCTGGGGATCGTAAATGAAGAGCACCTCCTGTCTTCAATACATGCTCTACCCAATGCACCAGGTCTTTGCTTGGATGGACAGACCTGTCATGGTAGATCCTACTCAGTTCTTTTACCTTATTTGTGTACCTGAAATCATTAACATATTATAACTTCCCCGTATTTCTTATTTAATCTCTGACCTTAAGAATTTAAATTTAAAACGTTGAAACTAGTATTAAATTTATATTAAAATTGCTTAGAAGTGGGCGTTAGTGGCTACAACACAGTTTTTAACTTCTTAATATAGTCTTTATCGTACAAACTATAATGTAACTTTTCAGTTTGGTCCAATAAAGATTTTTTTTATAATACTTAGATTTACGCGAATATTTGACATTTTAAATAAAAAAATCCGAAATGATAGTTTTTTAAACCCTTCTGTTTTTTGTGCATTTAAAAGAGAAAATTCGCAATGTATACCGAGGATCTTCTGGATTAGATGATATTTTGTGGATACGTAAGAGTTAATCTACTACTATACTACTTTTCTCCCAAAATATGAATGAACATAGAATTTGTGACTGTTCATTTCATTTCCACTAGCAACGTGGACGTGGTACATAGTGTATACGTGTTAGATCATTGTCCAAAGACGAGCGTTGGTTTGAATCCAAACTATGACCTTCAGCGTAAGGGCGCGTACACATAGAACGTCCGTTTTAGAGGTCCGTTAGCGACGGATCCGTTAAAATCGGTCCTGTAAATGCTGTGTGAATATTACCTACAATAGCGACGGTTCAGTTAAAAAGGATCCTGTAAAATCGGACGTTCTATGTGTACGCGCCCTAAAATATTATTTTAGTCACGTATCACAGTGGAATCATCATCTTAGGAGATTATAGATTCAGTAAAGATTTTTGCAAATTCAATCTCAAGAAATGAGTGTTGAATTATAGTGATATATACATTAAAGCAAAATTATAAAATAATAAAGCCATTTAGTAAAGCATTCAAAACGTTGGAGGTAAAAATAAATCCGCTAAAAAATACGAAAAGACAGTTTTATTTAAAATAATGAAGTGCTAAGATAACTCCTATTAGTGATATGTACTTGACTTGGATTATTAGAAATCGTCTATATGAGAAGACTCATTGGTTAGAATTTCGTTTTATCGTAGGTACATCCTGAATAAATAATAGATATATATTGGAATCGTTCCCAATACATAGTGTTAACAAATAATATCTACTTTTTTAGCATTGATTAGCTTTGAAGTAGTGTGTTCCATTTTCGCGCCAGGTTAAGGATTCGATTACATTCGATGTTTGATTTTTGATTGAATTATTTGATGACATGAATACAATTTTTCAATTCACTTTTTTATCAAATTAAGTAACCAGCTATCACCATACCAAATTTCATCAAAATCCTTTCAGTGGTTTTTCTGTGATGCGGTAACAGACAGACAGATAGACAAAAATTCTAAAAACTGTAGATTCGGCCTCTGTATCGATAATAATGTTTATTTGAATAACATTTTACAAAAAATATTTAATGTACAGATTCGGTCTAGTTACGATTTTATTATATCATATATGTATAGATTATTGAAATATAGAACTACGAGACTTTTCCTGCATCTCTTATGTATAATATATAGTTCAATTATATTCAATTATGTATATGAACTATATCTTAAAAAATATAACCTATGTGCTCCTCTGATGATTTAATGATCTATGTATATTACTGCAAAGTATCATCAAAATTTGTTCAGTAGTTTTTGCGTAAAACCCCCACAAGTTTTCGTGCTTATGATATTAGTGGCAACACAAATTACATAATACTATACTAAGTAGAATTAAAATCGTTTCCTTCGAATAAATTTGGTTATGTTTCAATTTGACAAATTAATTTACTCTTAAAGAAATTAATTCGTAACAGCAATCATTGTTTTTTATATTAACTTACTTAGGATTAGCAAGGATTTCTTGAATAGCAATCTTCAAATCCCCAGTCATCTCGTAAGATAAATCTACTTTCATTGCATAGCCTTTCTTTACTCCTCTAGCTATGTTTACAAACTGGTCACCAAAAACAGGAATACCGATAACAGGCACTCCATAGTGTATTGTTTCAGTGGTCGAGAGAAGGCCTCCATGAGTGATGAAAAGGACACAGTTTTTGTGAGCTGAAAAAGATTTTTATTTTAAATCTACCTAATAGCAATTTTTCTACCTTTCTCTTCTCCTTTTAGACTTTGTATTTAGTATCAAAGATTTTATCTATTATTAACCTAACTCTCTCTCTAAGTTCATTTGCTATGCATGCAAACTTGTAGGAAATATGTTCACATATGGTATTTTTTTCTTATATGAATCTAAACATTATAATAGTACAAAAATTCTGAATTTATTTTGAGAAAAGAATTTACCTAAAATGCTTTGTTGTGGAGCCCAATGTAGGATATGAACATTGCTAGGCAAATTTGGCAGGTTATCTTCAAATTTCCACAAAACAGTTTGTTTTAATTCGCCAAACATTTTCAATAAGTCTTGCCTCAGTTCTTCAGGGAAGTGTTTGCTACGTAAGTTTGATCCCATGCTGAAGTAGATTACACCATGTTTTGCGTTATCCATTATTTTTTTTAAATCCTAAAAAAATACATAAGTAATTGAAATTATTATATTTAACACAATAGACTATCACAACCTATTCTAGTATTAGTTTTTCTAATACGTGTACGAAACCCTAATGAAAGTATAACATAAAAAGCAATTCCGATATTGTGTATAGCTTGACTTTCTAAAACATTTCGGTTTAACCTAAGACAACTTTGGTTTAACGGTAAGACAGCTAACCATTGATATTAGCCCACTACGTTGGATATACATATGTAAATTGCACAAATATGTGTCCTGAGAAAATAAGTAAATCATTACCATTAATTATTTCAATTTTCTCTAAAAGTTCCATGGGCTGACAATTCGACACGATCGGTGACAGGTCACGCGCAGAACAGAAGGATGAGACCCAAAAGTTCCTAACTCCGAGCTGCTCCGAATTATATTTAGCTTAATCTGGGACTCGAACTCAGGACTTCGGAAAGTGCACCAGTACATACTAGCCAAAAGAGCAACGAGGTAGATCTCTCTTAAAAGATATACTTAACAGTCAAAAATGAGAAAGTATGGTGCAAAAACCAACGTAGGGATGTAAGTAGTGTTCTTTAATACATGAACTATATTCATTGTAATATAAATAATCTTACCTCAGGTAAATGTTTTACAGCTGTATCAATATGATAGCCTCCTATAGGTATAAAGTTTGGCGGCAAACGTTTTGCACTACCCATTGACACATGAGAGTTACATAAAATTAATGAAGCATTGTACTTTAATGCCTCTAATGTTGGAACAGGAATTCCGCGATTACGAATATGTGGTACAAATAGTTTCTCGTAAATATCATTTTCTAGCCCAGACACGTAACTGAAAAAATACATATTTCTTTTATTAATTAACGAACGAATATACACAATACAAGGCCTTAGTTCACACTCAATCCATTTCACACTTTGCTATTTCTGACACCTAAGGCACGGTTGTAACATTACCGTGCCTAAGGGTTGCCTGGAAGAAATCGCTGTTTTTTTAGCGATAAGACCGCCTCTTGTGCACTTTCCTGTCATTGAATTGTTTTTGTTTTGTTTTTTATGTGTAGAGTTTTTATTATTATCATTAATTGTTAAATATTAAATCTTTTTTCTACAGTCATCACTCAGGAAGTTGACCTTATTTCGAAACTCAGATTATAATTAGTTAATTCCTTCAGTAACACAATATATAGGTAATTTATGAACTAAATAAAAACTGAAAATAAGTGGAAACTTGTGGGATTTTAAGATACCTATATATTATATATTCTGACCTACTTGATTTTAATTACGATTTACTTTTAAATAAATAAATCCTATTTTAAATTGATGCACTTGGAAACAAGCAGACAAATATTTAGATATTTAAACATCTCCATTTTATATTACTACTTAGATATATAATTCACTTCATTCTTTAACCTGTAGGTCTATTCTGTAAAAGCCTTTTCGAAATTCGACAACAGAATCCGCGTGCATACTTCATACTATTTGAAGCATCATACATAAAAGTTCTTTGATAAAATCTTAAAAAAAAAACCGACTTCCAGGCACTAAAATGTAAAAAATAACTAAAAGGGGATTTTCATTTAGAATAGATACCTAATCAGATATTTTCGAAGTCGGTGCTAGCCGATGAAAAGCAAATCTAATATTATTCGATACGTAAAATACATATTTACCTATTAGATATTCATATCTTTTTTTGTCGGCTGGCTTTTGTAATCGATGAACATACATACATAAAAAAGGTGCCGAAGAATTGAGAACCTCCTCCTTTTTGGAAGTCGGTTAAAATAGTATGTTACTTATCCCGTAATGAGTATACTTTTATTAGTAACCATGACAGTTCTACATTAAAACTAAGGAAGTCATCCTGTAGCATGCATACCTATACGTACGTATACTTAGTGTTTTGCAAAACACAAGTCATTACACGTAGCTTTCCCCTTAAATCTAGGCAATATAAAATATATTATTGCCTAGATTTAAGCATATCTTATTAGTAAATAAATCCAAATTATATTGGACCATTATACGAGAGTTAAACATCATTTAAATGAAATCTTAGTTGAAAATATGTAGTTAACCAGGTAAGCTTATACATAAATTAATTAACACAATACTTACAACACTTGAAGAAGTTTTTCAAAAACAACTAAACCAAGTTCTATTACACGTTCCTTAAATGAAAGGGGAGGAAAGCTGCTGGACATGATGTCAACATTGTATGCTGGGTTAGGTATTTCGTCGACTAACTGTAAAATCATCCAATGAGGTTCCATTGATGAAAACCAAATAAATGGGCAGTTGAAAACTCCAGCAAACCTAAAATATAATGAATCTTTATTTTTATTTAAAACATAAAAATCCTAAAAAAATAAGCATTAAATAATATTAGTGATTCTAAAAACTATCTAGGTAGTTTTATCCTTTTAGGAATCATATAGACCAAACAGACAAACACATAGTCATAAATAATAACAGGACTTAATTACCGATTTCGGCCACGCCGCGCTGGTCTAGTCGCCGTGCTAGTCATGTGCGCAAGAAGTATTATAGTAAAAATAAAGGCACACTCACATGTGCACTCTTTATTTCTGTCACATTTATACTCTAATGGAGCGATAATAATTCGACGTGACTGGTGAGAGATCAGGCGGAGGACGGATTCTCCGAGGCACGAGGTGAACAACCGCCCATTTCTCGACCGGGCTCTTACCGAGAATTTCTTAACAAAAAATCCCAGTAACTGAACTTTGCCCGACCCAGAATTCGAACCCAGGACCTTCGGATTTATAGTCGTACATGCTGCTACTAATTAGACCAACGAGGCAGTTATTTTAAAGAAATATATACCCACTCCAACACTCTGTTTGTACCGTGTTTTGATTAATTTTACAAAAAATAACGCACAACGTAGTAGGTATATAGAGTCAAATACTAGTTGTAAACTGACATTATTGTTTTTTTTTTGGGAGATCGCATCCGCAACCGCTGATGTAGAGGCCATTTTTAAGACCACTGCTGTCAAGGCTAAAATATCTTATAATTGGTTAGTCATTAATATGATGGTGTTTTTTGGCAAATTTACAAATCAATAAAATACAAAAAGTGGTTTGTTTATTCCACTACCATAATATTAAATACACGCTACGTTTTTATTATATCGCAATTATTGATAAAAAATTGGAAACACAATTATTGTTACAGTGCTATTATAAAATATACGAAATTTTGTATATTACGAGTATGTACTACGTACAAATTTTCGAATATATTATAGTGTTAGTGTGATTCTGTACAGATTAGCTAAGACATTGACGTGGAATTCCAATATCTCACAGGATAAATTAAGTCAATGAAATCTGATGAAATGATAGATCTTATATCTAAGTTATTAATTTAATAGCCAAAAAAAATAGTCAATAAGAATCATTGGTAAATATCTAAACCAAATAATGTATGGTTCCCGTGCGATAGATTTATTTTTGTTTTTCTAGCGAAGCCAGGGTGAACCCGTAGTAGTAAGTATATTCGAATTTCAACTTCTGAGTGAACTCTAGTTATGTTTAAATTATAGTCCACTGTAAATATATATCTTTAATGTATTGGTAACTTTTTGGGACGTATTCAAAAATTTATGTTTACATAATATACCTATAGTGTAGTGTTTAAGTGTATAAAATATAACGTAAAAGACAATTTTGATGTTGAGGGATAATTATGTAGAGAAACTACAAGTTTGGTCATATACATCATTAAACGAATAAATAAATTAGTTCCAAATTAAAGACAGGAAAGTTTTTATGCCGATTATTATTATTTTTTAGTGCAAAATTAACGATTTTCATATGTAGGTATGCCACAGCAACGCGTGACCGGGTTTGTTATACAGTATAATTTTCTACTAACAGTAATAAGTTATATAAATAAATAATGATAGTAATGAAAATAATTTAACAATGAAACTATTTTTTATATTTAAAATTTAATATTAAACGCTGAATAGTTATCAAATCCATGTTTGACCTGCACTTGATGGCTCTTGATAAGTTTTTATGACCGATTTCAAAATTGGAGACAATTACATAATTCGTTTTGCTTTTTTGTGGGTACGTCATGTAATTATAAAACTTCGTCAATTCGCCTATTTTTAAAAAGGTTTTAAGTAATTTGGGTATTATTTAATAGGTATACTTTTTCAGTTTTCAACAAAATTAAAGGCATCAATAAATGTTCTCGTACATAAATGTTTAATTCAGTTCATTATCATTATATATAATATATTTTATCTCTAAAACAAAATAACAGTGGACAGTATTGACTTTAAAATTCACACACTTAGCTTTTACAAACATAATTATTAGCACATGATTACATTTTTAACTGGCTTTTATTCGGGGCTTTGCTTGTGGCTGTTTTATTTACACACATAACACATTATCTTTATTCACACAAATTACAGATGTTTTTAGTTATACCCTTATAACCCTTTGACGGCAAGTAAAATCATCATATTATAAATATAAATAGATATATATTTTATACTTGTACATAAACTAGCAACTTTTATAGAAATATCTTTCTTAAAGTAGGTACATTTATCCTATAACTAGCTCAACCTCTTTAGAAAATCAAAAACAAATCTATGCCACAGGAACCGTACATTTTTGCGAGATAAAAAGTAGCCTATGTATTATTCTGATGTATGAGCTAATTGTAAAGTTTTATTAAAATCCATTGAGTAGTGTTAGCGTGAGAGAGTAACAAACATCCATACGTCTATATATCAAGACATCCATACATCATCACAAACTTTCGCATTAATAATATTAGTAGCACTAGCGTAGGTACGTTTTTTTAATGGAAACCCTAAATCTTTTTCTGAAATAAGAGTAGCCAAGTTACTCCTTATAACATGAGCTCCAGTCTTTCCTGAGATTAGCTGGAACAGACAGACAGACAAAAACCTTTTATTTAGACATGAAGACAAGCACTTCAATTTAATTTAATTTATCTGTATGTATAGACGAATATTTAACAAACAATCTTAAGATAAGTAGTTGCATCAAGTACCGCCTCAGCAAGGTCATATAAAATCGTTTTGATAATAAAGAGTAATCATGCGGAATTAAAGTATAATATGATTATTTTTACATTATTTTTTTTTATTTCTTACGTTTATCTTTACGTGTGAATCTATGTCCGTGTTTATTTGTCAGTATATTTCTCAGAAACTATTGGCTTAATTTTATTTTAAAGCTGTGAAAGCTTCATAAAAATTGGTTTAATAGTAGTAATATATATACAGTATACTTATAGGACTGTTAAGTTTTGCTTTAAAAAGCAATTTACAATTACTCAGAACAAAATCTACATGCGATTTTTAAATTGTTTTTATTTTCGATTTTTTTTATGTTTTACAACGTTGATATTATTGTTGACGATTGATTTATCTTTTATATTATTCTAGTTTTTAGTACATTTGTAAAGTTAAAGTAAACTTCTGCTACGATTTCTTTTTAATAACGTAAAGCTTACGTCGTAAACTAATACTTTCTTAGATTTACGCGAATATTTAATATTTTAAATAAAACTATTTTTTCGATTTTTTTTTTTATTTTTGGTTTCCGAAAAATCATTTTGTAAAATTGTGGGTAGTTATTAGGTACTGTCTGTAACAAGTACCTATATAATGCCTTTGAGACGTCTAAAACCTTAATCTCACCCGTGACCATGATTGCTGTAAAGCATTCGAAATTTCGGGAATCAAAAATCTAAATAAATTCACGAAATAATCCGATAAGATAGTTTTATTTTAAAGTCTCGCAGTGTTTTCGTCTGGCTGTGTTGCTGAACTCTATTGAGCCTCTACCACCAAAACAAGTTAAACAAGACGAATTATACTTGTATTAACACATAGGCTAGAAGGTAAAGCCGCGGTATAAGACTAGTAAAAAACATTACTTACCCTGCATAGACTTCAATAAACATCCATTCAACGATAACTAAATCAAACTTTTGGTTTTTGTCGCTCAGCAGTCGTTGGACTTTCGGATTTTCTATTGTAGACTTACTCAATTCCGAAAACATGGGGATAAACTCAAGGAATTCAATCCCGCTAGAACCATCCATTTGTGTTTTTAAATTGAGGGTATCTAAAATATAAATTAAATTTTTAGTCACTGTTGTTCTCTTCCAACATCAACATGGTATATCGTGGGTTTGATGTTCACACGTGCTCAACTCTTGGCTATACAAAACATCACCCTTACTCGTTTCAAATGTAATATACTACTTTTCCTCTATCTCATCTCTTCTTCTTCTCTATACTCATCTCGTTCACCTAACTTAATTATCTGATCGGTTTAATAATTTTGTACCAAATTATAGGGTATGTATTATCTATCCTAACATTATATATGTATATATATTCTTTATTGCACTAAACAAGTAATAAGTAATAAAATGTAAAGAGAAATGAATAGATTTTTTGTATACTCTTTTTTATGTAATGTAACCTGAGGCATCAAAAATTTGCCTATAATAGCTAGGGATGAACCCGATACACACAGATACACACGTTAAACTTATAACACCCTTCTTTTTGCGTCGGGGATTAAAAACGTACGTAAGAGAAGATTAAGAAGAAGAAGAGAAAGCGTATTAAGAAAGCTGTATTTACCACTCTCAAGAAGCTTTGCATTTTCTGTTACGTCAATAATAGTGACTCCAGGTTCTGGCTTACTAGGTAGTATTCCTGTAATATACGTTACCTAAAAAATATATTGATAGTGTTTTTAATATATTAAGAAATAAAAATTAACCATAAAAACTTGCTCTATGTGTACGTTAGCTAGAAACTTAAGAATTTCCACAACAATCTGGGATGTTTCGGGATGTTTCTAAGCATTCCACAACTGGACATGATCTGGAATGCTCTCGAACACTCTCGAATATTCTGTACTTTTCAAAAGCATATCCTTAAGATAAAAACGGGAATCTTCGTCATGGATGGGTGATAGAGAGTTACCACATCCATGTACCTCCTTTGATCGTACCGAGACTCGTTTCTGAGTTTTAGCGGTACGTATACGGGAACCGTACATTTTTCCGGAATAAAAAGTAGCCTATGAGTTATTGCAGACTATAATCTATTTCTGTGCCAAATTTCATCCAGATCCGTTTAGCCGTTCTGGCGTGAAAGTGTAACAAATATCCATCCATCCATCCTCATAAACATTCACATTTATAATATTAGTATGGATAATATATAAAAAAATATAATAAAAAATAAGCATTAATAAACTTACCTCATGGCCAGCTTTTGATAAGAGGTTAACTATACCCTCCCCTAAAATGCCATGACTTCTCCCTGGTAATGGGCTTAGAACTAGTATTTTATAGCCAGTAATGCATATAAAATATTGCACAATCACCAAAATACTTAACCACTTAACCATTTTCTGTAAAAATAATAATAGATTTTTTAAAATTAAGTTTGAATGGATTTAAAAACGCAAAGATATAATTATATTATAATTTATAAATATCTTTTTAGATTTAGTTGAAGCGCTTTAAAAAAAGAATCTGTGTTTGTACTTATGTACGCACAAGAACTTAGGTATACTTCTTTGGTGTAACAGAACAAAAATAGCTAACATTTCATCCCGTATGTCACGACTTTCTGCTTGTAAGAGGAATGATAAATTAATAAAATAATTAAATAAGGCACATTAGGCATATTACAATCATATATTTATAGAATATCATTAAAGGAAAAAATAGTTAAATCAGACAATAACAACGGTTACCAGCTAACATGAAGCTCGAAAATCCGAAAGGAAAGTGTTATTTGATAGTAATTATTTTATTAAATGGCTCAGGGACTCTAATTATTAGACTAATATAAATTAAAACTAACTAATATATATCTCTATAGCTATAAAAAGAGGATATTTACTCTGAATTTCATTGCTAAATTATATTGAAATAATAATAATATTTTACTAATCAATGTTGTGATTGACTCTAGTTCAGCGGTAAAGATAATTTTTAAGGAGAACGTCATTTAAATAAATATATTATCGTACTCTGTAGATATATTAAATTGTCATATAAAAATCAAAATATACTATATCTTTGTAGGGGTCAATATACTTACGATTACGAGCTTTATAATATCACTTCAAACATTTAATTTACTTTTGTACACGTTTTGCAATATTTTAACCACTGTATCGTACGCGTTAACGGCTATAACAATTTTATCACTAACTAATTCAAAGATGAAAAAACTAATGTCACAATGGCGCAATGAATACAGTAATGACAATATAATTTAGACAACGTTTTATGCAATGATAAAGATATCGCGTATAATTTGTATTACAGCATTTAGATACTGTGGTCTCATCGATATAACTCAAACTAACTAAATGGTAACCTTGTAGAGCTATTATTCTGTAAGAGTCATACACAGACGCTTACATATACTGTATGTATGAACAAACATACATACGCACATATACATAGTAAAAAATTAAGGACGAGTGCGAGTCGGACTCGCCCACCGAGTGTTCCGTATACATTTGTAGGAAATCTGTTTAACTTAAATTTTCTACTTTTTTATTTTTTGGAATTTTCCCTTTACTGGTGCTGTAAGACCATGCTTTTACGTACTTCCGGTTGACCTAGAATTGTCAATTTTGGTTAAAAGCAAGGTCTTACAACACAAGTAAAGGGAAACTTCCAAAAAATAAAAAACAAAGTTAAATATGAAGGTTTTTGGTACTTACAAGTTTTCGCGAAAATCTAAATTTGCCCATATCTTTTTACCGTTTTGACTCAGAACCTTGTTTTTTATACTAATAGGGACTTTAAACCTCAGTATCTGTTCCGAAGTCACCATCAGTTGAAATTGATACTCAGTATCTGGTATGAATTTCAACTTGCTAGGTCCACCCGTTCCTGAGAAATCGGTGGTGACACACGGACAGATGGACAAGAGAGTGATCTTATAAGTGTTCCTTTGTTTACCTTTTGAGGTACAGAAACCTAAAAAGTGATTAATAATTTTATTGCACATATAAATATTTTTTCCGCGGAACTTGGTTAGTTGATTTTCGATTAAAGCAAATATTTAATAGTACTTAATTTAATCACATGAATATTATTATTGAAATAGTCATTATTATCGATACAGAGGCCGTTGTGCTGAGTAACGGTTACGTGCATTTTTAGATAAGATTACGATATTTTTTATTATATATAGTATAGTTATAATAATATCTTGTACTCGTAGATTAAAAACTGTAACTTAAAGTGGATGCTTACATTTAAAAAAAATATATTGAATTTTCAGATAGGGCTCATTTTTTTGTCTTGAACTCTACTTTTTGATAAACCAAAAACATTGTATGGTCGTCCTGTAAAAACACCCTTAAAAATTGGGAAAAATGGATAAAATTTTTGAGCACCTACAGTTTTTTCACAATAACATGAATTTTATCGTTAATTATTTTATTGTTATACTATTTTTTTTACATTTTAGTTCGGTTCATCATTAAGGCGTGTTTTACAGTTTTGTAAACTTTAATTTATTGAATAAATCGGTACACTTCAAGGGTGTATTATGATAAAATCCGAAAAGATAGTTTTATTTAAATTGTTTATTATTTCTCATACCCAAAACGTTAAAACAGAACCCTTATAATTTCGCCATGTCATCTATCTGTATGTCACAACCATTTTATTCGATGACTATTGGAGCTACATTGCTCAAATAATTCTTTGGTGAATTTACAAAAAAAAATAAGTTTTACGACAAGTTTGGCTCAGTTTGTGTGATCGCTGTGCTTGTTGTGCCAGCGGTCGCGGGTTCGAATCCCGCTGAGTGGTATCCATAACACAGGCCTCGTAGCTTACCACTTACTTAATGTCCGAGTATATTTATTTATTATTTATTTGCAAAACCTGTGAGGTATTGAATAATTATACATGTTGCTAAGAGACTTTTTTGTTTAAGTCAATAGCTGCAGTTATAATATGCTTCTAGTCATAAAAATTCTATACTGGATTTGTTACTTAAACTTTGTTTTTCTCAGTGCTACTATGAATAATGAAATACCAACTTATTTGTGCAGTCAACAAAATGAATTATTCCCAATATGGGTATGGCAGGGAAATATTTTATTTAACTATTAATGTAATAAATTAGTAATCAAAGTTTCATGCTTATACGGTTTCTTCAAATTACATAGCCAAATCAACATTTATTGACGACTAGCAATTCTCCCTCGTGCCGCTCGGGTTCATCCATGGGTATTTTTAATGGTTAGTATAGATTTCTTAGAGATGAGATATTTTGCCGCAGTAAAAAGTATCCTATATGTTGACCCGGATAAACAGATATCGTCATACTAAATTTTATCAAAATCTGTCCAATGGTTTTCTCGTGATGCGTTTCCAGACAGACAGACAGAGAGAGTGACATACAGACAAAAAATCTCAAAACTTTAGATTCGGCCTCTGTATCGATAATAATGACTATATTTCAATTAGATTTTCAAAAAAATATATTTATTGTACAGATTCGGCTTAGTTACAATTAATTTTATTATATGTATAGATAACATACTATATCCATTTTAATTTAAAACGTACCTAGGTACGAACCCGAGCGAGGCGAGGGTGAGTCGCTAGTTCGACTCAAATTTTTAAAAATGATTATTAAATCATTATAAAAAATTTGAAGAAAACCTATATTAATAGAATTTACTTATCTATATAAAAAACAATTTCCAAAACTAGAAAAGGTACTGTACGGTAAAAAGGCAACTATGCCTTTTTCTATTTATGTATAGATTACGTAAAACTATATTTAACAGCTCCATCTATGCAAAAGTATAAGTAATACGTAGACTTGACAGCAGTATTTAGTTCGTATACTACATTTTTATCCTGATATCTACAACATTACATAGATGCTGTTACTAGTACGTACTGTTAACTTTACTGTCTTTTACACTATAGAGGTCGTTGATTCGATTCTAGTTCTGCCTTAGAAAAGAAACAGAGCTATAGAAAATCTTCAGGTGTTCGAGTTAAACCTGTAGTTAATATAGACTTCTGATAGTTACTTAGGACTTTTTTAAACAGTAGCATTCTGTCAATCTTTAGTTTTAACACTATGGCTATGGTGCCGCAAGCGATCCTCCATTACATTACTCTGTGGCGACGCGACGGGATCCGCTGTGGGATTAAGTGAGTAGTAATCTAAACATTCCTTGCCCATTAACGGCTGGTAGAGACTTATTCTTCCAAAGGGGTTACTTTTTTCGAAGCCACATGTTGATATCAACATCAATAAAAACTTTTTAACAAAAAAATAAAAACCGACTTCAAACAAAAGCACTAAAAAGTAAAAAATAACTGATTGGTAGTTTTCATTTACTATCCATACCTAATCAAATATTTTCGAAGTCGGTGTGCTTTGCTTTGTATGGGCTGTCACCGATTTCGAAAATATTTGATTAGGTATGTATTTAATAGGTAGGCTTTAATTACTTAGCAAAAGCACACCGACTTCGAAAATATTTGATTAGGTATGTATAGTAAATGAAAACTACCAATCAGTTATTTTTTACTTTTTAGTGCTTTTGTTTGAAGTCGGTTTTTATTTTTTTGTTAAAAAGTTTTTATTTTTCCCTTTTTAGTGTAGACAGTAGTAGCAAAGTAAGAATTCTAACGTGTTAGGCTTGTCGAATCAAACAAAATAAGCCCAAAATCAAAGTATCTACTATTAGCCGTTGAAGAGTTCCACCTATCCACCTTCTGGCCTTACCATCATATCAGGTCAACAATACCGAACCACTGTACTATCAACAGAAATAGAAACACTTGCAAAGTTTCAAGTCAATATGACAATTAGAAGTAGGTTAAATCCATCATTAGCTATTTTTCCACCCTTAGGGGTGGTATTTTTTTTTGAAATTTAAATGGGACCAATCTGGAAGTATACCCTTTCAAACAAAACAAAAATTGTCCAAATCGGTTAATAAATGACGAAGTTCTGAGGTATCAAACATAAAAAAAAACAGTCGAATTGAGAACCTCCTCCTTTTTGAAGTCGGTTGAAAAAAGGGTTATGCGGCATTATAGCACGTGTGTTAGAGATCGTATGACGATTCACTCTCATGATAGTTCCGCTGCGGATTTTTGTGCGTAAGATTATCACAGCCCCCTGCCCTGTGTTAATACGACATCAAATAGTAAGCATTTCTTAATAAAACCTAACTCAGATCATTTTATCAGATCTACATGGGATCACTTAACTGACCACGGTTGCCTGGAGACTAATAGAGAGAAATTAAACTGTTCTATTAAAAAAATATGTCATAATAATGTATATATAGTCCAATCGGAATCCGGTTTGGGGACAATATATTGAAAACCTGAAGTTTTATGATTTTAAAATGTTAACAGGTATATAAGGAATAGAAATTCGTAAAATGCCCCCGATGCCCAGCTACCCCTGAGAAATGGAAGGACGCAAAGTGTTGAAAAATAGTTTTTTTTCAATTTCCGGCTTACTGTGATGTCATCTAAAAAATCATAAAAAATGTAAAAAAATTTATAAAACAACCCTTTAATCTACTGTGTATCCATTAAACTCTAAGATATTGATGATAAAAAAGAGAAGAATTTTTTTTGAAAGTCGAATATCTCAGGAAAAAACAGACATAAAGAGTTAAGTATAAAAAATTTGTTTTTTTCATTTTTTACTTTTTTATGATTTTTTAACAAAACTATGACAAAATTTTATAAATATCAACTTAATTTTTTTAAATATATTTTTAATAAATGAATAAACAAGATTACACTACAAATGAATTTCATTTCTTTCTATAATTACCTTAAAGTCGATTTTTTCAGAAAAATCTATAGAATTAACTCCAAAATCGATCAAAAACTAATAAAATAGCGATAAATTCTAAAAAAATTATAACGTATATAGATTCTACGGCAAAAAAATACAAAAGCACTGGCAAACTTTACGTGAATTCCAACTTTGATTTTTTTTTCACGACTCGTCAAATTGCAAAGTTGGAATGTTTACGGAGACTTTGTATTAATAATAAGCGTCAAATTAAAAATTTAGGGATACCGTTTTTTTCGTTTTTCCCCGAAAAATATATTGCTGTAATTAGTTTATAAAAATTTGGTCAATAAAGTACACTTCTTCAATGATAATTGAAAAAAAAATATTTTACAAAGTAAAAATTATCGATTTCTCCAAATTTTTAAATTTTTAAGGGTGTTTTTACAAGACGACTATACAATGTTTTTATATTTTCAAAAAGTAGAGTTCAAGACGAAAAGAATGAGCTCTATCTGAAAATTGAACGAATTTTTTTTAAATGTAAACGCCCACTTGAAGTTGGGGGTGATTTTCAGCCTTTTGACACCATAAAACATACTTTTCTCGGAAAAGGCTAAACATTTCAATTTCATTTAAAAAAAATTATTATATGTATTTCGAAAATTACATTCTCTTAGTTTCATGGAAATTAAAAGATTATTCTAGAAATTAGATATAAAAAACCAAGAAAAAGTTAAAAACCGAGTTTTTTGCAAATATCTCAAAAACTTTGAGTCATCACAGTAAGCTGGAAATTGAAAAAACTATTATTCCACGCTTTGCGTCCTTCCATTTCTCGGGGGTAGCTGGGCATCGGGGGCATTTTACGAATTTATATTCCTTATATACCTGACAACATTTTGAAATCATAAAACTTCAGGTTTTCAATAAAAAAATTCTCTTAAAAATAAACAGATTCCGATTGTTCTAATAACACATTACACATGTATTATAATATAATAAATATTTTATCTACGCCAGTCTTCGCGTTAGTGGTTTTTGTATTGTTTCGTCAATAATTTTGCTGCTTCTGGTTTACTACGAGATATAACTGGTTATAGATACATACATAATATATGGAATGGTCAAGTGCAGCCATCGATTGCATCGTACAGTCTAATTAATGTACCAACAAATCAAATATTGTTTTAAAAAACATAATTATAAATTTAAAATTTAAACACCCCCTACGCAAATTATTTGTCATTTAACGATTACACTGGCACGCGTGAAGCACTTTATCGAGTAATCATACGCCAAAATGCCTTAACATCATTTTGGAAAAGAGCTGATACTTTTACACCGCTCGACCGATATTAACCAAACATAGCTAAGAACCACCGCAAGAAAACTGGCTTTCAAATGAAAAAAAAACTACACCGAAAACGGTCCATTCTTTTGAGAGCTACGATGCCACAGACAGACACACACAGGCAGACATCGACGTCAAACTTATAACACCCCTCTTTTTGCGTCGGGGGTTAAAATTTGACAAATTGTGTTTATTAAATACAAAATAAAAGAAAATCTTTTAAAATATACAGGTAATTTACTATTTAGGTGAACTAAGAGTTACAATCAAATATTGAACGAACACTTGGACGACTGAGCTTCGCTCGGCGTTTTTATTTCTAGCATCGGTAGTTTTTTCGGAAAATATATTAAACTTGCCTTTTTATAGAAATTTTATTTAAATAAAAAATTTGATCCAAATCGTTAAAGCCATTTCCAAGATACACGAACTAAAATATATATACCAAAATTGCTCATGTAATATTATGAGATATGTCTCACACACTCATGTCGTAATATATGAAAAACTAGCGCCTGACCCACGCTTTGCTCTGGTTCGCATCTAAAAAATTAAAAACAAATCTATTCCACAGGAACCACACATTTTACCTGGATAAAAACAGTCTATGTGCTATATCTATATCACAAACCATACCTATATCACTAACTATCTATATAACAAGCATCCATCCAAACATCTCAACATTCACATTTATAATATTAGTAAGTTTTAAATAGCATGTTAACAGTATTATTCGTATATAAACTACATATAGTACACACTTCAGACTAAAAACTAAATATTCCGAGCCAATAACTTTCCTTAACTCACTATAACAAGGTCTAAGAAGGGAGTGTTCACTTCATATTATATTTGAGAGAAAGAAATTCTTCAGTGCCTTGCAATTTGGAGCTCCTCTACGTGCCCAGCATTCTTACCAGTGATGAAGCAATTATTCGCGCCTGATTATTTTGTTCCATAGACCTTTGAAATGTTAAATAAACAAGCCGTTAGCTGACTTCTTAATTACACTGCGGATGCTTTTGTGAAAATATGTAGTGACCTCGTTTAGTAACTTCTAGCTAAGTATGTAAGTGTTTTAATTGTTGATTAATTTAGTTAGAAATTGTTTCTAAATGTCATTTAGTATATGATAATGATTTGCTGTATGTACCTTCGAATATTTAAGTATAAAAATATAAGCTTTATAAATCATAAATTATATTTATTTATAGAACTTTCAAGTTTTTATATTGACCACTAGCCACTTACCCTCGCTTCGCTCGGGTGCATTCCTAGCTGTAGTACATAGCCAGTGAAAGTCCCGTCAAAATGAGTCCAGGCACTTCGGAAATTAACCGGAACGAACAGACAGACAATTTTCTTTTTCTTTTAAGTAACATATAATATATAATTTCATATGTTTTAAGTAAATAAACACACACTTTAATTTTATTTATCTGTATAGATGAATACTTCCATAGATGAGCTTCCAAAATAAGTTCGTTTTGAGTCAAAATTTACAAAATGGTAATAGTGAGTTAGGTCCATCAACATTGACAATAGGAGAGCGTTGATATCAATGTGATGAATTGTGTATCTGTTTATTACACTTACGTATTTGTTGCAATTAGACCATTTTAATGACTAAGGACTTAGGTCTCAGACCTTTTTGATGACCTAGCTGGGACATAGAAGTAATACTAAAATTCTATTATTTTGCAAAAATTAAATGTAAGAGGATGATTAATATAATAATCTAAATGATCATTTTGATTTGCCAACATTTTATTTATTTTTTTATTAAATAAACGCGAAGTTGCTAGATGTCTGCTGATTTTTAATGAAGAAATGAATGGATTATTGGGCTTTTCATAGTGAAATTAATGCTTCGAATGGACGGAAGTAATTATGAAACATGAAATTTTTTATTACATTAAGAATGAACGTTTAAAAAAGGAGAAAAAAATCTATAGTAGTAGTTTTATTTTGTCTTTTTTTTATTTTCAAGTGTAAGAAGCTTAACATAATGTTATCATTTTACAATCGTGTAAGAATAAAAATGTAAAAGTAATATACGAGAATGATATATTAATGAATATGATATGATTCTATGACAACGGTTAAATTTGTCGTTTCAATACAATTTTTTTGACCGATTTCCAAAAAAGGAGGAGGTTCTATGATCTTCTGTTAGTATTTTTTTATGTTCATTTTTTAGTGATTGTAATAGACATCTTGTCTGAGCCTTACATAGCTTAGATCATAGGTAATTTTTGAGATGAAATAAGATCTGTAACAAAAATATAGGAAGATATTATATTATCTATACTACCTACTTAAATTATTTGTAAAGGTTAGTTTTAAGCATACAAATAAACAAAATATTATAAGTATGTTTTTTTTTTATATAAGTTATATGTATAAGTATGATTCTAAATTTTAGCTGCTGAGTTTCCGGGAATTTAGTTAATTGATAACTTTATTTGCGTACTTTACGCTCATTTTCCCTGCCTCATATGTCATCCACTCACATCGCTATATCGATAGGCGACCTAAAACCAATTAACAATATTTGATTTATTGCTGAAAATACGTAAATTTAATTTCTATTTTCTAAATTTTATCAATCTCAGTCTAATAAAAGTTCTCTAATAATGAAAATAGATACTTCTTTACTGGAGTGTGTTGAATTATCAAATATTTAGACTTTACACGCTTTATTTTTCACGAATTTCAAATTTATATAATTTTTTTGCTCACTCTTTAAACAAAACTATTTTTTCGGATTTTTTCGCGGATTTATTTTGATTTTTGGTTCCCGACGTTTCGAATCCTTTACAGCAATCATGGTCACGGGAGAGACTGAGGCTTTAGACAAAGTTAAAGACAATCAGACAGTCGTCTCAAAAACGTTATATAGTAATAATCCGCTAAAAACAAGATAGATTTATTTAAAATATCAAATATTAGCATAAATCTAAGAAAGTATTATATTTTGCTCGCTCTTAAGTTATTAATCAAGTCTTTATGGCAACACTGAATGCTTAAAATAAGTTTTATTTATATAGATAAGGTACTATAACACCTTTATCTCACTCCCAAAGGAATCCATTACGACAACGAAAAGATTTTAACAAAGCTAAGGAATAGAGAGTCTGCTTATATATTTTCCATAGTAACTGCTCTGTAATTAAAATTATCTACTCTTAAACATAATAATTAATTTTCTTAACTGCCTCAGTAACTGGTTACAGCGTGTAAAAGCTTCTGTAACGACCGTTTGTGTCGTTTACAATATAAAGACGAGATATATTTATTTTGGAAAAGGGCTCTTTATTCTTGTTTAATGTTTAGGAATTTATTAATTTTGAGACAATTTTTCATAGTTAAATTCTAGATATTTATAAAAATTGTGCATTAAAAACGCGAGATACTAATACTCGCTTTATATATATTTTAGTAACTATATCTAATACTAGCTACTCACCTTTGCTCCGCCCGAGTTCGTCCCTAGTTACGTTTTAATGTTTATGTAGATATTTTGCCGCAGTAAAAAGTATCCTATATGTTGACCTTTAAACTGCCTCGGTGGTGTAGTGGCTAGCATGTACGGCTGCACACCCGGAGATCCTGGGTTCGAGTTCCCGGGTCGGGCCAAGTTTAGTTATTGAGTCTTCCTGTGTAGTAAGTCTCAGTAACAGCCTGGAGTTGGGAAGTTGGCGGTGTTTCATCCCCGTGCCTCGGAGAGCACGTAAAGCCGTCGGTCCTGCGCCTTAACTCTCGCCGGTCCTGTCGAACAGTCGTCCCACCGGAGTATGAGAGTGATAGGAATAGAGAGTGCACTTGTGTCTGCGCGTACACTTGAGCACTATAATATCTTCTGCGCAGTTGGCTAATCTCATTGAGATTGGCCGCCGTGGCCGGAATCGGCTAGGAGAACATCATCATCATCATCATATAAAGCCTCAGTAACAGCCCGGAGTTGGGAAGTTGGCGGTGTTTCGCCCCCGTGCTCGGAGAGCACGTAAAGCCGTCGGTCCTGCGCCTTAACTCTCACTGGTCTTGTCGAGTGGTCGTCCCACCGGAGTATGAGAGTGACAGGAACAGAGAGTGCACGTTGTGTCTGCACGTACACTTGTGCACTATATCTCCTGCGCTGTTGGCTAGTCTCAATGAGATTGGCCGCCGAGGCCGGAATCGGTCAGGAGAACATCACATAATATGTTGACCCGGATAACCAGCTATCATCATATTAAATTCATTAAAATGTGACCAGTGGTTTTCACGTGATGAGTTCCCAGACAGGCAGGCAAACGGATAAAAATTCTAAAAACAATAGATACTATTTTTTTATTGATAAATATTTTTTTATATAGGCTACTACTTAAAGATTTTTTTTTATTGTAATTCGATTAATTAAAAAATATTATAAAAGATTACTCTATACCTTCATAAAATGTAAGAGCTGAACTTTTAAGAAATTACTCAGAGTAATTTGTATATTATCCATTCATTCTATTCGAAATTGAACCCACGTCCCTCAGGCGACATAAATTCATTGCTGATATACTCTGAAGATATAATCTGTTAAAGGGATCTCTCGAGTATCGATAGTGTCACCGTAAATATTATTAACTGCACCTTCGCGCTTCAGTGTGTACATTAATCAGCAAGTTCCGCGTCAAAATATGATCAATTATTTAATTAAAAATATGCTGTTTTATTCGAAGTAAAATGTTGCTTTCATGACAAAAGGTCATTTTTAGAGTTCCGTAGCCAAAAGGAAAATTCGCAATCCATATAATTTCGTCATTTCCGTCTGTTTATCTTTCTGAATGTTACGGTTATTTTATTCAATGACTATTGAAGCTACATTGCTAAAATTTAGTAATTATGTGTCGTGTAGCTCTTGACAATTCTGTAGACAAATTATAAAAATAAAAAGAGGTGTGGCGGTCAATATATGTAAAGTAAGGGATTAAAAAATATTAAGTTCCCATTTTGTGTAATCGTTAATAATAGAGCTTCCAAAATATTTTCAAAAATAGATATATTTAAAAATATTTAAGAAGTTTTTGAGATATGGAATATTATTTTCGTTGCAAAATTAACTAGCTTTATTTCTCAAGAAATGTTAAAAAAAAAGTTATGTCTTCAATTATATTAATGTTGTAGATGAGTGAATATTGTATTAAACTTTTAACTTAATAAATTAATTATGTTAAAACATGATTATCACTTGTGTTTATGGTGAAGGAAAACATCGTGAAGAAACCTGCATGTCTGAGAGAACTTAGCAAGTTTTCGAAAGACATGTGGAGTCCGCCAACCCGCACTTGGCCAGCGTGGTGGATTATGGCCTGATCCCCCTCGCATTGAAGGGAGGCCCGAGCCCAGCAAGTGGGACGTTAAAAAGGGCTGAATGCAAAACATAACATTTTATTGTAACATGCTACGGAACTCTTGGTATGCAGGTGAGAATCGCATTTTTTTATTTCATCCCAATTTTTTATATTATATTATTATGATCAAAACGAAATTGACATATTCTGTTTTAAAAGTATAGTGCCTATAGGTTATAACTAGCGACTAATGTACCTAGGTGCCTAACAGTAGCTTACGTGTTACTCCAAGTAATAAATAATTATAATCTATGTTTGTATTAAATTGAATTCCATTCAGTCGTTTTATCGTGAAAGAGAAAAAAACATATATACATACATTTATATAAATAAACAAAAAAAAAACACATAAATTTCGCATTTTTTCGTTTTTCTATACCATAATAGTAAGTCTGATTTTGATGGTGTTTTCTAATAACTACTTATTTTAAGTGATATCATATTAAATTCTTATTCTAGACTACTTTTTGAGGTACACCTGCAAGGTAAGCGTGATGGAGATAAAGTATAACTAATGTCCGTCTCCATGCTGTAATTTAATGCGTTGCCTTTCAACCTAATCTGTACAGATAGTTCTTTTGAAATTTATAATATTGTACTACTGTATGAATATGACAGTTATATTATTATACTAGCGGCTCACCCTCGCTTCGCTTGGGTTCGCCTCTAGAAAAACACTAATAGAGATCTATTAGTTCCCATGGGAACCGTTTGTTGTTTGACCGGCAATATAAGGTATCAGAATGTTAAATTTTACTAAATTAGGTACATAAAATGTTGTGTACTAAGCTGTATAAGATACTATAGTTTTGTAATTATCCCACGAGAACTATTTAATTTTTCGGAATAAAAAGTATCTAAGATGTTGCCCGGAGATATAAGGTACCACTATGCAAAATTTCATTTAAATCGGTGCAATGGATTCGGAGATTAGCCCGTACAAACAAACTTACAGACTGAGAAACAAAAAAAATGAAAAAAATCCGGATTTGTTCTATTTGTCTTCTTACATCCCCCTGGCTCGGTTTTTAGCATTTTTTTTCTATGTACAGACATTCGACCTCTATAGTTTTATTATAGTATCGATACCATACAATAAAATAAATAGACATAATAATACTAGCGATAAACGTCTTATCGCCTCTACCATTGATACGAGAACTGGCTCGATTTTCAACCGACTTCCTCAAAAAGGAGGAGGTTCTCAATTCGGATGTATGTTTTTTTATATGTTTGTTACCTCAGAACTCCGTCATTTATTAACCAATTTAGACAATTTTTGTTTTGTCTGAAAGTATATGCTTCCAGATTAGTTCCATTTAAATTTCAAAAAAAAAACCATCCTCAAGGGTGGAAAAATAGCTAATGATGAACCTATAAGTAGGTTAAATTAATTAATTGTCATATTGACTTGAAACTTTGTAAGTGATTAGTGCAATTGTTCGGTATCGTTGACCTGATCTAATGGTAAAGCCAGAAGGTGGAAAGGTGGACTTATTTTGTTTGATTTGACAAACCTAACACGTTAGAATGGGATTTTAGAGCCAGAATTTTTAGTGTTGCTAATAAAAGTGAATTTTAGTTTGTAAGTCTTCGTATAAAAATTGGCATCAAAGTCACTTAAACGGTTTAAGCGAATATTGTATAAAAATACTTTCTAAATTACTTAAATGTATGAAAAATTATATCAAAATAATTTTAAGATAAGACGTCTTGTATGGACCCTTCGCCACTGGTAGTTTATAGTTTATAATGAAACCTAAGTTCCTTAACTTATCGCTCTAAGGAATTGGAACTCTAAAGTAAATAATCCAGACACAGTTTTTCAATTTTATGGCTTATTATAGCGTACTTTTTATAATCAAAATTAAATTAATATGATAATGTCATTAAAATTACCAAATTATACTCTATCTTTTGTTTTTTTTTCTTATTTAGGCAAAGAACTTTTGGTATCTACTTAGGAAAATGTAGCGCAAAGTTTCGTTTTATCCGAATTCGATGTTATTTAATGAAACACAATCTAAAATTATGCTAGATAAGAATTCCATACATAAAAATATACTATTCGTAACTTAGTTGTTAATTAAGTTGGGATTTGGGAGCGTCGAACAATCAACGAAAACTAATTTCGAGATAGAGTGACCATGAGGAAGCTAAACAAAGTTTGTGTTGTAATTAACGTTCAAACTTGACTTTGGAACTTTAAAACAAATGTATGTTCATCCGCCTATTAAGTAAAATAGAGCTTAAATGATCTTTTTAATATTTGAAGTTTATTTTTCTACCAATAGACAAAATTTATCAGTAATCAAAGTAGGTAGGTATTACACGATAGAAATAAACAAAAGCTCTTTAATATGAGAATTTTAGTTTGTTTGTATTTTTTTTTCTATTAACCTGAGCGTAACAGTCGAATACAAAATAAAAAATATTGTATAGCAATAAAAATGTATTGTTTGTTTGGAAATAATTCTCAAAAAAATCTCCCTTGATAATATTTTGTAAAAATAACTCCTGTTACTTCTTACTTTAAGTCATAAATTATAAAAAAAATTAATAAATATATAGGTAAATTATATTTAAATTAATTATATTAACTGTCTTTCAAATAAAATATGGTCACAGTAGTGACGTGAAATGAAACACAAACACAAAATTTGTTCAGCATATCAAACTTACTATCTTTCATAGTTATAATGATATTTTCATTGAATTTATATTCCACTGTCTATGTCATTGGCCTGTATAGAGAGTATCCATCCAGAGATTATTACATATTACAGCCTAAAACCTTTCTCTTTAAAATATTTCAAAGTCGATCTTAGAACCCCAGGATGCTGCTGTATATGCTGTATATAAATATACTATCTCAATACTGTCTTACTAATGACATAGTGTAGACGCTTATGTATTCAGAAGTTCGTAAATCGCTCACGCGTAAACCGTGGAATGGATTTTAATGTGATTTCGCGTATAGATAGGCCATAATGTTCTGGCATTGCATATTATTGAAGTAACATATGTATGTATTTAAATATAGAGAATACTTCCCCATTAGACAATTGTTCAACTATTATGTTTATTAGCAAAACTTTTGTTCTGACTTCAACAAAAGATGCTCATTCAGTATACTTTTATTAAAAAGAATTTTTATAGTAAGAATTAGCGCCGTACCCTCTCTTCTTTCGGGTCACTATAAGCACGTTTTAATTACATGTAAATAGTTATAAATCACTGTTAGCCATGTAAATGTTTTTATTTCGTGATTTTTTCCTATGTTTTAATAGTTACTCTGCTATTCGGGGCGAAGATAAATCCAACAAATTAAAGATCATCAAAATCGGTCCAGCTGTTCTTGAGTTATAAATGATGTAACTAACCCGACTTTGTTTTATTATATATAGATTCTACTGATCGAATATTTATAGCTGAAATGGTATAACAGCACTATGTACATAAAATGACATAATAACCGAATCAAATTAGTATCGTATAACCCATATCAATGACGTAAATATTTTGGAAATGGTACGAGAATATACTTAATTTATTAATAGTTATGTTTCTAAGATGACACCCTAGTTTAAATTATTTTATTCTATGCTTATAAGTTTTTGAATTCAATTTTAGTAAAGAAATTCCAAACCTTGAGTGGATTGCTTTTCTCCAAACACGTTACTTATACGAGTATCATTCTTTAGAGTTCAAATGATAAGTGAACCAAGTTTAACTTAAAAATATATAGATAGAGTTGCTTTTGCCTTTATAAATGAACATGGATTGCATGAATTATAGGTTTATGATAGGGATCGTTAATGCTTCCTTTTTTTTTAACGTTGGGAAATGCATTTACGCATGACGTGTGGGACTCACCGGCGTAATACAGCCAGTACTACCCACTAAAACCCAACAAAACCTTCCCCCGTCTTAATGGGGCGTCGCAGGATCGCTTACGCATTCAACTAAGACGCCCCGACGGCAGGTCCGCCGAAGCAGACCACCACAACCATGGGGTTGCTCCACAGTCCACTCTGCTATCAGAGAAGTACCAGGAGCAGCCCGCATGGTACACCGCCCCCCGGAGAGGGCCACCTCCCACCGCCCACCGAAGTGGGCAATCTCCCTGTGCGTTTCTTGGCTTCGCGCCCGGTTGG